ATATATATATAAAAATTCACTTACAAAGCCAAGTCACTCTGGAGAAGATAAAAGTAATACAACTTAATTAGAGAGTCACTCACAGGATGGCCACACTATATTCACAAAAGAAGAATTGCCCATCTGTGCATCAGGTTCATTGAGCAGATTATCCAGTGTGCTTGAAAATGTTTACGCAACACAGTTGTAATTATTACAGTTTATATAAAAAAGGAACAGTATTTTCATATAAAGTACATAATACAACATACTGAGTTGGAAGTGGCACTCCCAGCTTTATAGCCAATGTTCATCTGATGGATAATATCTGTAATGGACTCTGAGCTTGTTCTGCCTGTGATTTTACTTCATTCAATACCACTACATCGATCTACTACATACTGGGAAATAGCTATGCAAACATTCTATATGTCAAGTAAAAAAAAAGCAAATGGGTCTGAATAAAATCAATTTAGTCCCAAAGTTAACTGGTTCTAAAGTATATTCAAACCCAAGAACAAAAATGTAATATACTTAAGCTGAACTTCAATATATTGAAGCATACCTTAAACGTGGTGGCTGCATTAGTTTTGTTTTTTTTAGATTTCTTTTTGCTTTAATATTATCAGGTGATCTTGCAGGTTACACATTAGGTGTTCTACAGTGATAATGTTCACTGGTTCACTCATTCCCCACTGAGTCAAGCTTCAGTTAGTCGGCCCCGCTGGCTGTCAAAATACCTGAACAATCTGATTGGATGCAGGTATTGTTCAGGTGTTTTGAAAGCGAGTGGGGCCGATTAACTGAAGCTTGGCTCAGTGGGAATTTCCTCCATCCACACAGTTTAGCGTAGATGGAGGAATCTGTTGCACTTTTTCCATCTGACCATAGAAAATCTGCAGATAATCTATAGGTGTATCACCAGTTTAACACATCACTGCAGAGTCCACAGGTCAGCACAGGATTTCTGGTGTATTTTTGCACTTATTAAACAGATATAATAAAATGCTTTCAGTGATATATTTAACAGACTAAAAGGATGCAAATAAGATAAATTAATTGTTAGGCTTTACTTACACACTGATTTTTAACATGACATTTTTAGAAATGCTACATTGCTGTTGCCCAAATCAACTGGTCATAATCATTTTATTGTTGTAAAACCAGTGAAGGATACAGTTTGATCAATTGCCATTAGGCACTCATTGGAAAATTACCCTTCCCTTAATAATTGAGAAAGGAAAACTGATCCGCATGAATCTAATTTTGGCGTGAATTTACCTAAATCAATTGAAACTCAGTTCTAATTCACTCATATTTAGTTGTTATTGAAACCTATATTACTTCTGCGAAAGAAAACAAACTTATAGGTGTTTCCAGGTGATTGGGTTTATGGCTACAGCAGGTCAAAGTCACAGTCAAGGAAGAAACATACTGGGCAGCAAAGGTTGCTGAAGATTTGCAGCATTCAGTTCAGATTTTCCAAATGGTATAGCAGCCATTATATTCCTGTTTTACCTCCAGTATAATGCAGATATGGGAAAATAGAACAAAAGTTATTAATCTTTTCATTTGACAGTTCAGCTGCAGCTGTATGTCATCATCATGTTGATCTCATTTCTCACATAAGTTGGTGGAGGATGAATCTGATTAGAATGAAATGCAGTAGTCATGTCCCAACCATTTATAAAACCAACATTGATATCTTTAAAGATTATTTCCATAATAAGGTAGTGAACATATGCATGGAAATCACTCATTCCTTCATACTCTACTTGCATTTCACTTGTATTCTCCGTCTTGATGATAACTTTAGTTTCTGGACTTCTCAGAAAAAGGCGCTCTATAGCACGTCGGATGTTGTACAGCCTCTTGATATAATGATGAACAGGAAATAATCTGAAATGCACCCCAATGTTGAAAGCAATTATGGTGTACTGGTTCCCTCCTATTAAGTCAATTTCATGTGGGATGGTGCGCTCTTCTCTGAGGGTTGTAAATCCTAGATAAATAAATGGCCTTGCATGATGTTTCCAAAGAACATGGATATTTCTTTCAGTATCAACAGCTAAATGCTTTTGTGACCATCCGTTTTCATAGACATTGAGGAATTTTATATCTAGAATGGAAAATAAAATGAATATCATACAGTGAGAATTGTGATAGGCTTTGGAAATCTAAATGGTACAAGTAGATTAAAAAAATGCTGGTAAATAGGAAGGAAACATAGAAGCAGAGATGAGCAACAACTTACAATCTGCCAGTGTGTCTGATCTATGTAAAATTTCTGGAAATTTTGAAGCCATGAGAAAAAAACATGTTTTTTTCCCTGTGGTTTTTTTTCTCTGAAAATATTTAAATTTTTGGGAAAATTAAAAAAAATTCAGTGTGGAGTATTATTACAAATTGAAAGTCGATTTGTTACACAAGGAACATGAAATGTAGTGTACAGGTGAAACTCGAATAATTAGAATATCGTGCAAAGTTCATTTATTTCACTAATGCAACTTAAAAGGTGAAACTAATATATGAGATAGACTCATTACATGCAAAGCAAGATAGTTCAAGCCGTGATTTGTCATCATTGTGATGATTATGGCTTACAGCTCATGAAAACCCCAAGAACCCCAAATCCACAACCTCAAAAAAGTAGATTATTACATGCAATCAATAAAACAAGGATTGTACATAGAACAATATCGGACCTCTGAAAAGTACAAGCATGCATATGTACTCAGTACTTGGTTTGGGCCCCTTTTGCAGCACTTACTGCAATTACTTTTGCACAAATTCTCATTATTCGAGTTTCACCTGTATATACAATTATTATGCTTGAAATACAAAAACAGCTTATTCAGTAAATAAACTAAACTTTAAAAAAAAATGTTTTTATTACAAATGGAATAACAAAGACTGTATATGTTAATAACATTTCAACAATAATGAGAACAGGTAACCACTCCCTTTCCCTGAAAAGCAACATAACAAGCAAGAACATATTTGCAAATTGCAGCTTTGCTCTCAGCAGAAGTTGCACTGTGGAAATCTTTCCAAACTCCTAGATGTTGGTCTCACCATTTTACTGGGAGGAGGAAAAAACTATTTGTTGAGCAGACTATAGGTAAACATTATACTGTGATGGTGTAGAACATTATTAGGAATCATTTAAAGGTTATACAGATACTAATTAGTCAGACAAATGTACCCTCTTACCTGTCAATTAAGGCCTGAGAGGACAGAAACTATCATCTACTATCATAATAACAATATAATAATCACCCAACTGTAGGAAGTACAAGATAGAGTCCACAAGCTAACTAAACTGGAGCCTTTCTTCTGCCGTGCTCCTAGTGGCAGAAATGCATATTTCATTGAGTTTGAGAACTGCATTGAGAAGTACAGTGTTACTTGAATTGTATCCCAGGATTTGCTTGTCTTCAGCTGAGAGTGTGCAATAATTTAAGACTTTACATATAGTCTCAGAAATCTTTCATTAAGGTCTTCATGTTATATAGTTTGAATACCATGTCAAAGATATATTATTTATCACTGTAAAAGAATATATTCCACACTCCTTTTTTTTCATTTCAATTTTGCTAGAAAAAAAATGTTTTTTCCCCAATTTTTCCTTTTTTATGGACTATAAGACACACAAGAAAGATGTTTATGTGCACCATAAAACACCCTTTAGTTAACTCCATGTTGGCTTTTCCCTTTGTGGTACTTGCTCTGTGTTTACACTAATGAAGGCTGGAAGTAACTGTTGGAAGGGGGGAGCTCAGGTGGTTTAAACAATGCTTTTAGTGCTTCTACTGTGTGATATACTACGAAAGTCAGTGAAGGTTTGTTTTAAAACAAATGTACTGCCTGTTAAGAACATGTAAATATCTGAATGTTTTTAGGCTGCCCAAAGTTACATTAATAATATGTAAATTTATGTCCATTGTCTGGCCACAGGTTTAGTATAAATTTGGGCAATGGTTTTTAGCTGTTGCCTCCAACTTGTTGCTAATGAAGAAGACAAAGTAGATATTTTCAAGTAAGAAAAATAGAAGAGAGCCTTTTTTCTCATGTCAGAGATACTATATATTTTTACTGTATATTTTTTTAATTTTTAATTTTTTAAACAAGAAGATTTTTTACAAATTCAACTGAGCATTTTTAGGGGGTACGTACACCCTCCACATTTGGACTTAACATGATAGCTAGATTTATTAATATTTATGATTTCATACTAGTAATGCTTACTTTTCAACTTGGTTTCAAACTGAAAGATCCACTGATGGGTGGTTGAGTCCCCAAACATGTAGAAGAATTTTCCCGTCATGCAAGCATTTAGTTCTTCTGCTTGGTGGTAGGTCTGCATGCTGCAAGTCTTCGGGTACCAGATGTCCTTCATAAAATATCCACTGGGGTATTCTAATTTCCCTCCCGTTTTGCATTTTTCTTTTGTTTCTAAACTTGAATCTTAAGAAAAAAAAGTTTATTTACATTAATAATGTCATCATAACCAGGGATGTCCCGATACCACTTTTTCAAGACCAAGTACAAGTACTTCCCCTCATGTACTTGTCGATACCAATTACCGATACTTTTTCTTAAACGGACAGGTGAAATTTTTTATAAAAGAATACAGACTAATGATTTAAGGCCAAATTCTTTATGATTATGAAGAACTTTAATTTAAGACTGTTTTAGAACAATAAAACATTCTGGGATCATTTAACCTATTCAAGTTTTCAAACCGCGATCCTGTGGGACCACCTAGGTGGTATTTCGGCGGGAAACCGAAAAATAATGGCACTGCCAGCACGATCGGCGGTGGTGTGCGATTCCGTGACCGCCCAGCCATCCGCTCGGTTTAGTATTATTTTTACTTTATCGCCTTTTTCTTTTTGTACATTTTTATTTAGTTACATTTTTAATTAGTTATTCTTTTCTATTTTATTTTTTAAACTTTTTTAAACTATTTTTTTTTTTTTACTTAACTTTATTGCTATCACACAGGGAATAACAAGCCCTTGTGTGATAGCATTTGGAGGTGACAGGTACTCTTTATTGATCCTGTCACCTCCAACACAGGAGTTCTAGCACAGTAATGTGCTAGAACTCCTGTGACAAGAACGAGCAGGGGCTGAGAGAGGTGACAGAGCCTGTCACAGCTCCACGCGTCCAGCTCTGTCACCACCACACGCCCCCTGCTCTCAGCGCTCCAAGCCCCCTGCTCTCAGCACTCCACGCCCCCCGCTCTGTCACCGCTCCACAATTCAACACCGTTGCGCAAGCATCAGCGCTATGTATCGGGGCATTTTCACAAGTACTTGTGAAAATGCCCTGTATTGGTCCCGATAACGATGCTAGTATCGGTATCGGGACATGCCTAATCATAACCTTTGAATGTCATCACAGCTAATACATTCATTGTATTGTCATTCAAACAAAAAGGACATGTGACTAGAACAAACCAAGGATATGTCGGGCAAGAACAAGTAGATGTAATAGTCTGCAAAAGTGTCAGGTTATCTACAGGAAAATTATAATGGTTTTGGACCAGTGTTATTTAATTTTTTTTTTTTATGGTTATAGGTTTTTAAACATGTTTTTATATTTGTTAAAAATGTATAAAAAAAATCTTTCTTTTACAAATAGTAATTAATACAAGGTAAAGCCATGTATCAGGATCTCAGCAAAAGTTGTTTTATTTTAGACACTCAGGGTATAACTGCTTCTCTTTAGATAGCCATCAAGGGAGAAGAAGAGAGTGGAATGAATCACTACCCTTGCAACTCAGTATGTAAATTTCATCTTGAGCTACTGACCTACTAGGACAACATTAAACATACACAAATACTTTAAATAACATGCTTGGATGTCTGAAAGCTGCATGTGGTGTTACAGAATGGTAAGATGTAGTCCTTGAAATGACAGTACACATGAAAAAAAGAGAATGTGGGTGTCACGTACCTTGGTATGAGCCTGAAGTGATGAGGAAGGCCATCCCTTGCTGCTCTCATCTGAGCTCCACTGAAGAATGGAACAGTAGTTATACAGACAGAGAGGGGCACCAGTGCCTGTGGCTGGTATGGCTGCTGGACACACTGGATGTGCTCATGCTGACAAAAGGACGCCAGAGGCAGCTAGTGGTCGACGTCAGATCAGACGACACTTGTGTGAGAGGCTGAGGCGTACTCAGGGACAAGCCAGATCGGTAACGTGCGGTCAGCGTGGTACAAAAGCAGGTGACAGAAGCAGAGTCAGGAACAGGCCGGGTCATACACTAGCGAGTAGAATTGTACCGGATCAGGAAGCAGGAGAATGGTCAAGGACGAGCCGAGGTCACAAGGCAGGCAGCAAGCAGGCAGAGTCAAGAATTAAGCTGGGTCATACAGCTATCAGGAGCAGAAACACAGATGCAGGTTACAGCTGAAGATCTCTCAGTAAAGTGCAGATGCAGGAGCCATCTTTAACCTCTTGCCGTCCGCCCGTTGAGAAAAAACGGACGGACAGCGGATTCACATTTGCGGGTTGCCGGCTCTATAGCCTGACGATCGTATGTATGTGCTGTCTTTGCGCGCCCCCCCCCTCCTGACCCCTCACCTTCAACCCCAGGATCCGTTAGCCCATCTGCGGCCTGGGACCAGCTCGGGTGGGCGCCAGGAGGTAAGTTGGAAGGGAATACAGCATCTTCCTCCTTGCTGATCTCCCTCCTTCCCAGGTCTGAATGCAGAAGTGATGTGTATTACATCACTTCCGCATTCACCTGTCAGTCATCTGGCTGCTATAGCCAGAGAGAAGAAGCTGATGAAGCAGATCTCTGCTTCATCAGCTTGTTTGGGGGATCCCCTGGTGACATTAGGGGTCTTAGAGACCCCTAATGTCTCCATAAAGAGGACCTGTCAGTGTACCTGTGCTATCACATAGGGAGATTGTTAGCAATAGCAATAAGTGTAAAAAAACATAAAAAAAGTTTAAAAAAGTCACATATAAAAAAGTTTAAAAAAAACACCCCAAATTTTTAAGTCCCCCACCCCCAGCCCCATATTTACGCACATATAAATGTAAATACGCATTCGATGCACCAGCGTGCGAAAATGACAATTGCGCTACACATGTTACATATCATCGCGAACGTCAGAGTGAGAGCAATAATTTTAGGGCCATCAATCACTGATAACACTAAACTGATGAGCGGTAAAAGCTTTTAAATCATCGCCTATGGCTAATTTTGGGTATTGTAGTTTTTTTAGGTTTTGCGCGTGCAATTTTAAGGCTTGACATGTTTGGTGTCTATTTACCCAACGTGACCCCATCTCTTATATTTTACCAAAAAATTGGGTGATAATAAATGTTTTATCTTTTAATATAGGGGAAAAGTTAAAAAAAAATTGGTAATTATTCCTTAATATATTAAAAAATAAACCCCCCAGTGGTGATTCAATGAAAGCTCTATCTGTCCCTAAAAAATGGTATAAAATTAATTTCAGTACAGCATTGTATGACAAAATAAATGTCAGTCAAAGTACTGCAGCGCTGAATACTGAAAAATGGCCTAGACAGGAAGGGGGTTTAACACCACGGACTTCAAGTGGTTAAATAGCCTGCCTGGCGCCAAGGAAATGCCTGTGCACGTTACTTGCGTGTGCATGTTTTTGCGCGCATACTTGCACGTATTCGTGCATGCGCAGTACTAGCGGCAACGAGCCGATTGCGCGCATGAGCATAGCGTGCAGCGGTCCGGGCAGAAGCTGCACTATGGTTCCTGACTGATGCACCCTGACAGTGGGGTTCTTCGTAACGTTCCAAACTGACCCATATCCAAGCATGCAGCCTTGGTGTGCAAGAAAGGGAGGTCAGCAAGTGTATGGTCCCCCTTCCTGTACAATACAAAGCCAGATTACTCATCATTAAGAAGGAAAGACCTCGTCCTTGTAATGCTCTTGTACCAGTGTTGAGGGTTAAGGGCCTCTTCCCCATATTTAGTCCCCCATAATGGATGTGGGGCTTGGGGGGTTTATAGTGGAACCTGAAAGCACCCTAATAAAAAGACGGCCCCCAGATATCCACCCATTCCCAGGGGACTGAGTAAAAAAAAAATGTCAGTATTGTCATCTGATCATCACTCCCATCATCCAGAAATGTAAATCCATCGCCAACCACGACTACCCTCCATCTGATCATGTTTTTTCACCTCGCTCTTGCCACTAACAATCATGTTGTCCAGCGATGTAAACACTCACCAACAACAGTAGCCTGCTGCCCCATGATGTTTTTCCATTGCATTTCCATTGCTAAATAACAGTTCCCTGGCATTGCAGTAAACAAAGCATTGTGGAAGCTGGATGAGGTCAACGATCGTATATTGTCAAAGACAAAGATTTGGTCAATGACGTCGACCCGGATCCCCGGCTGTTTCTTTTACATTACAAAAGCAATTACATAGCAGTTAGGGCCATTTTGTTTTGAGAATAATGAAGAAGCTGAGTTGGACTAGAACCCACATTTGAGTTGAACCCGAATATCATCCCTATTGATTATATGGCACCAAAATCTGTCCAAAGTGAGCACATAATTGATATATAACAATAACATGATGGCATATATAAGTCCATAAAATATTATGAATGAAACTCACTAGACTAGAAGTAGTTTCCCACCAACAAGAGCCAAACCCGCCATAAAAATCTGAATGTGATTGGCGCTACAAGAAGCAGAGAGAAAGCTGGTTCATAACACAGGCTTAAGCTCGACTCCCTGTCCCTGTGAGGTGGTCTCCTGAGTCTTGCTCAAGTGGATTACAGAGAAGTCAGATTAAGGTGAGTTTTAGTCCCTGTTCACACGTAGACATTACGTGAACATATGTCAAACATGCAACAAATGCATGCTTTGACGCGTGTTCACAGGGTGCGTCAAAACGAACTTGCAATGCCATTACTTATTAATGGCACCCAAATGTGGCTAGCAAAATGGGTGTTTTTCCTGCAGTTGGACAGGCGTTAAAATGCTCACAGGCACAAGAATAAAACTCAGCATGCCTGTAGCAGAATCTGCTACATGAGCTACTTTCCTTTGTTTTTTGCATGTGCAGCACCCATTGAAATAAATGGGCAATGCACAGCAAACACGGGAAAAAATGCATGTGAATTCAAATGAATGTACAGAGTATGCAAAGGTGTGAACCGGGACTTAAAGCCTAAGTTTACTTTTTAGACCATGTTTTATGTTGCACACACGTTGAGGGTGATATGATGACCCCAAACCTTAATCCTTCCCCCTCACTTACCTGAATCATGGGATTCTTTCCCCCGAAGTCTCCTGTCACTAAAGAAGAGCGCTAGGCAAAACTTTGATTAACCCTTGCTGTGGGGCTACCCCCACACTGCAAGGTTTTAATGCTTGTTTTGTCTAGGTTATACTCACCTGAACTGCAGAGCTGGCTCATTCTTAGACCGGTCCTTCCAAC